CAAGAAGTTTTACTGTCAAATAGATGGGTTTGTTGTCGGTTCCCCTCTAGGTATTTTATCAGCTGACACTTTCCTAGCTAAATTAGACAATGGTCCTCTAGGAGAGGTGATTAGCAAACTGGAACATTATTATCGTTATGTAGACGATACATTCATCGTTTGTGACAATAACTTGGATAAACAAAATCTGAGGCTGGTCATTAATAATGTGCACCCGGGAATTAAATTCACTTGCGAAGAAGAATATCAGGGAAGCATTTCTTATTTGGATATTATTCTTATCAAAATGCCAGCCGGCACGTTAAAGCGAAACATCTACAGAAAAGCGACATGGAACGGACAATGAACCCGTTTCCATTGTTTCATAAACGGAGTTTGATTCGTTTTCTTAGTAATAGGGTAAGGCGCACATGTACTCAGGACTGTATTGAAGATGAAATTGAAAATCTCAAAAATAACATGCTACAAAATGGTTACCTGTAATAATTATTTGTAATAGTAGTATTTTGCAATAGCCAAATTACAGGAAATCAACCAACAACACAGAGAGGGATGAATTTAGGTGTTTGTATTTGGCAGAATAATTTGTAATTCATATAATAAATATTTACAAACAACAGTAAGTATTTAAACAGTACAGTAATAGAAACTGCCAATCACCACAATAACCTACCTGTTTTGTAAAGAAGTATATTTCCAAAAGAAGTGATAAAATTAAGTGTGATGCAGTGAGTAAGAGAAAGCATTATTTAAGAGTACAGTTCCAAGGTGATATATGCAGTAATATATTAAGTCGTAGGTTGATTAAATCAGTTGAAAGAACTGTTAGTGCTGCAGAACTACACATTGGTTTCTCAACCAGACCTTTACTGACACAGTGTACCAAAGATGGCCACATCAAAGTGTGTATACAAGTTCAACTGCTCATGTGGAGGTAGTTATATAGGTCTAACTCAGAGGAATTTATCTTCACGCGCTAGCCAACATGTTCCTGTTCGACTTGGAAAAAGTGTAACCAAATCAATAAATAGTGCCATTATTACTCATCTACAAGAAAGTGATATTGATGTATTTATAACCGTAGAACCTGAGGAAGAATTTATCGAAAGCAATTGTTCACTCAAAGTAATCTTGTTCTGATTAAACTATGGGGATTTCACTTTATTTCATGAATAATCCTCATCCAGAAATTAATGAAAGCGAAACACGTAGTTAAGCGAAAAGTCTCTTTTTGGTGAATTCATTCCCTTATCTGTCTTAACTTATGATATAACTTCAGTGAACTGAAATAACACCGTCGTAGGTTTGTTATAACTAATACTGAAGTGAATGAGAAAGGTATTCACTTTGTTCTGTTTACACTTGCCTATTTGCTCGTTGTGCCTTCCGATTCACTGAGCCACGCAAATATCAAAAACCAAAGACTGGCCTGTGAATCGGAATGTATTAGGAAAACAACACAAAGTATTTATACATTTTTTTACAACAGTAAAGTCGGTCTCAAAGCTGTGAGAAATGAGTGATCGCATAATCAATCACAACATGCCTGAGAAAAGATAACATACTACTTTATACGGGTTCCTTTCAACTTACTCAACCCGAACTATACTAACACGACGTATTAAAGATAAGTTAGCGATGGTGACCACATCAGTGTATAGGCATAAATTTGATCGTTTCTGTGGAGCTATTTACATGGGTCGTACTCAGCAGAATTTATCTTCACGCACTTACAAACATGTACCTGTTTAACTTGGAAAAGCGTTAACCAGGTCAATAAACAGTCCCAGCTTATTTCATCTAGTAGACTGTGAAAACCGCATTAAAATATACCGTTGAATTTGTGTTCCTATATGGAGTGCCAAACAGTCTGTCAAAATGGGATGAGATTACATCTCCTAGCCAGCATTGAAGTTAGTGGGGTAAATAAGAATAAAACTAAACTATACGTGCAAAAAAGTACATTGATGCTTTATGTTTACCTTGGCCTATCTTACGATCATCATAGACGTAATTATCTCATATCCCATGTCTCGTTACGTCCTTCTGCCTCTTAGCAGTCTTTTCTCGTCCCTCCTTACTGCTTTCCAGTCACTTTATTTCATACCGTTATTGCTATTTCATGCATGTATAGACAAGAAATATGCAATTTAGAGTGAAAGTGACGTCATTTTATTTCAAAGGTACTTATTAACCATAGACTACCTGAAATTGAAATGGTTATAAAAACATAAAAATAACATATGAAAAACAGAAGACGTCCTGCGAAGAGACTACTTTCGGCGAATTTTATTCACATAGCTGTACAATCGCACCTATATATAATTATATTTGTGTGTGTGTGTGTACATGAGGTTTGTCAAGTTTAGGTAATTAATTAGGTAATACAAGAATGATCTAATATAGAAACAAAGTTAATTAGACAGCAACTAAAGTAAGATTGAGTTAGGAAGTTAGATGACATAATATAGTTGACTAAAATGTTCCAACTTAGGTCACGATAGCAACAGAGGTAATTACAGGAAGAGACTAAGTGGAGGTGAGGTAGAGAATAGTGCCATTTAAATTAGGACTAAAATTGAGCAAATAAATTGGATGACGTAACATAAATGACTAGAAATTGAGCGTTGGTCAAGTCAGTAACAGTGGTAATGAGGTGTAGAAATTAAATCAAGTTGGGGTAGAGAACAGGAAAGTTAAAAATGTAAAATATTACAAATGAAAAGACAACATAATACTAGTAATGAAAAGACAGAAAGAAGTAGAATTTATCTGTCAGGTATTAAGATAGATTACGTTCATTGCAAGTGTAGTGATTGAATGAACTTCTGTATACAGAGTTCAGGACTTAGCAAGTGAATTGCCATTGCTTCTGCAGATTGAGGAAGTTTGATTCGTACACTTTTAGGAAGACTGCTTTGCATTCTGTAGATGACTTTGAATTTTGTTTGGAGATTAGCTTGGTGTTGGGAATCTATCAGATGTCCTAAGGTAGAGCTGCAGGGGCATCGTTTTTCTCCTTTGTAAAATCATGCTGGTAAGAGTTCGGTGATACGTTTGGAAAGTGAACGCTGGATACGACTGCCATACCTGGCTCCACACAAGCAGGTGAACTGGTAGATACACACTGATGAGGCCAGGAATGGTAGCTTATCCTTCACGTTTGTACGAGTCACAGGTTTCGTGGAGAATGCTAATCGTAGCTCAGCTGTGAAGATGGTTTTCTTAAGTGAACAGGACACACAGGTTTTCAGTGTTTCCGTAGATGAATCTCCATTGAATTGAAGGTTCTTGTAGAAGATTTTTTTTCGAGGCGCTAAATGTGGGCGGCTTTTGTGGTCTAGGATTCATGGATTTTGAAATAAATCGTTCTGGATAACAATTCTCGACGAGGATTCTCCTGAGATTGTCCACTTCGTCTTCTATGGTATGCAGGGTGCAGATTCTGCTAACTCAGTGCTGAGTAAACGGATCAGGTTTCTTTTGGTGTATAGAGATACCCAACTGTGGAAGGTAGTAAGCTATCGGTTCCACGTCGACTTTCTGTAGACAGATCTTTCAGTGTCTGGTCTTGTTCTTGCCTTGTTAGATGAACTTCAAGAAAAGATATTTTGGAGTTAGGCTATTTCTCTAACATGAACTGAATCGTGGGGTGGCAGTTGTTGAAGGAATCTAAGTCGTCGTCTGGATTTTCTTTATTGTTGCCAATAATGAAAGTGTCGTCGACGTATCTCTTGTAGAATTCGAAGGTATCGATCATTTTCTTTAGGCATGTTTTCAAGTTTTGTCATGAAGAAATCTGAAAGCAATGGTCCTAGTGGTGAGCCCATAGCTATACCATCCTTTTGGTGATATATTTGGTTGTTAAAAGAGAATTGAACATTCAGGGCACATCTCAGTAGTTCTTTAAGATGCTTGGTGAGTATACCGATGTTAATTTCTTTGGAGTGAATAAGCTCGTATATGCAGCATATTGTTTCAGTCAGTGGGACGTTTGTGAACAATGACGTGACATCTAATGAAATCATGGTATTGTTGGTAACGTTGACGTTTTCGACTGAGTCGATAAAGTCCATTGAATCTTGAACTGTGTAGCAAGAAACGTATTTTTTTAAATTTTTTTAGTTTTGATTACAGCTTGATTCCACTCCGTATTTTAGGTACAGGTATGGAATTTTCACCATGTGATATCGGTAGCCCAAATTTTGCAAGCCAACCATAGATATCGGGTGTGTGTCGGCAGAGAGTCAAACTCCGGACCATGTACATGATCTGCTAGAGTCATAAGTGCGGTGCCACCGATGCACAATGATTTAAAGTAGCTCAACAGAAATGAGAGGCAAAACGAAATGAACTAACCAAGAGGGAAGCAGTTAATACTGAATGATTCAACACAACAATTGAAGTGAAAAAAATAAACTACTTTAATTGATTATAAGTTTGTGCGTTGGTGGTACAGCGGTTAGGATGCTCGCCAACCATGCACATGGTCCGGGGTTCGATCCCTGGCCGACGCACTTCCTTACCTCGCTAAGCCAGTAGTAAGACTGGTAAAGAGGGAAGGTTGGACATGGGGCTAGCAACCCCATGCTGTAAAAATAAACACTGCTGCAGAAACTTCAAGCCTCCAGCTTGAAGCCCTATGTTCCACGGGGAACGTGAAGGAAATAAAAAAAATTGATTATAAGTAGTTAATCCAAAAAGTAAACAAATACATGTATTTATGGATAACAAATGCAGTGGAGTCGGAGGGGTGGGGAGGATATTCAACACTTGCTGCACACACACACACACTTACATATACAGCCTGGTAGTATACAAAACCTCATTAATTCAATTAGCTACGACAAGAAAGAAGAAGAACCGAGCGGTGGAAGAGTTATCGCCTTACACTGAAGGTTTCCATGTAGAATACTCCTACAAGATAGATGAACATTATAATATATGCATAACGGCAGATAGAAGAGCTGCTACAACTACTGCCAAATTCACTACTGCTACTAATTTGATTTAGCGGATTGTTGAGTACCAGTACCACCACCATCACCACCACTTGAATTTGTATCATTCGATATCTCCTTACGTGTACGATGATGTTTACGTTGTTTTGAAGCATTAGAAGACGAGGAAGTATTATCATTCAATAAATCAGATATTGAAGTACTAGGAAACTCACGATTAGTTGAATTAGTCTGTTCTGAGGATTAAGCAGTTGATGCACTACTACTAACTATAGACTGGATATTTGTATCCTCTGTTGTACCGGTTGGTTGAGTTGCTTTGAAAGGATACATTCGGAGTATTCGAGTACGTAGATTTTGTTGAATTGGAGCTGTATACGGGACAAGTTGTTTAACCGTACCCACAGCTCTTGTTTTACCTTCACAAAATATTAAGCGTAGGCCTGTGTACAGGAATTCTGGACATTTGATAAATCAAAAAACAACCATATCTTTATCTCCAGTACGTAAACGTTCATGTGTATTTAGCTTTAATATAGTAACTGTTTGATGTACAGGACCAGCGTGTACCATAGCTTGATAACCAACAGATATAGTCGTTGGATGACGTAATATCAGTACTTCAGCAATGAATTCAATACACGCTTTCGGTTTCAATTCTGGAGCCAATAGTAAACCAAGGAGCTCAGAGAACACTATCAATTGCAACAACATACCCTTTCTGACTTGATTATGTCGTAACTTCTTTAAAGCAAATGATGCTGTATGACCACCACGGACATAATTCACTTATAAATGTTTCCGTTGAATACTTTTAACTGATACAGGATTAAATTGACCGGATAAATCTGGACCAAGCAATAGAGTGTCACTGAAGCGTATAACACCAGACAGACAAGTGCCAGATATGACTGTACCAACGCCTTGAACTGAAAATGTTTCATCGACTTGAAAATGTGCTGGTTCATTCAGTCGTGGCTCAGAACGTGATGGTGAGAGATTGAGAAAAAAATTTCAATAAGTCTAAATTTATTCCATTGACATTCGAGACAGGGAATATTGGACACATACGTTCTGAGGTGAAATTTGTTGCACAACAGAACACATCATCAGTTGAAGATATCTTTCTACAACCAGGTGATTTCAATATACGAAATAATGAATTCATTGTCTCGTGTAGTACATTCGGTGGATACATGTCAGTTTTTGTGACAACAACAAATACTGGTACACAAAGAGCCGGTGTTAAACCCAAGTGTTCTTTAGCCATACCAATAACACCTGCATTTGCACCAAACATAAACTTCACATAATCAGGGGCATGTCCAGTCATACCGAAGGTAGTTGTCTTTAAGTATCGTTCATGACCAGCTAGATCAATGAATGTGATCACTTTAGCTGAAGCTTCACATATCTCAGACCAATTTAAATGACTATGCATTGGTTTATTAACCACCTGATCAACAGAATTAAAACCAAGTATATCATGTGCCACTGAACTTGTACGTCCAGTTTCAGCTTCATGTTTATGACGTAGTAGACGTAGACGTGCCAAACCACGACCATTATCAAATTCATCATGTGTTAATACATCAAGTAGTGTAGATTTCCCTGCATCAGCATTCCCTACAACTGCCACACGAACATCTACAGAGTTATCTAAAGCAGTTTTCTTCCTCAAGAGATATTCTTTAACTAGACAACCACCTGTTCTTGCGGCATTATTACTGCTTACCACAGAAGGCGGAGCAGCGGTATTCACTTTTTCACTTGAAGACTGCTGACTAGACGCAATATTCTTCAACTTTGTACTGTTTTCTTCTTTATCTTTTTTTCAACCGACGATTTTCAACAACATTCTCATCATTCATATTTACATCATTGTTGATTTGACCTCACCAAGAGGTCAAATCAACAAATCAAACCTTAAGAAAGGCTATGATTATTTGAAACAGTTGACGGCTTTGTTGGTGTAGTTCTTGCTGTTGCTGTGGTTGTTGTTGTATTTGCTCCAGATCCAGATGTTATTCATCGATCACGTAAATGAATTAAATGAGAGGATAAACACTCAGCAAGTCGATCGGCTGTACAGACGCATTGATCCATTTCTTGTGGAGTGAGACCAGGACATTTTGCATCTCCAACACCCAATTCCAAAAAGCATTCACCCTGACCACTTTCTAATTCTGTTTCTAGACAGGTTTTTAAGTGCATAAATTGGTCCTCAGTCGGATTTAGGAAAGCATATTTATCTGATAGGATGGAGAGACTGCTGGTGTTTCCATCCATAATGTGTTAAATACACTTTATCCCCAAAGAAGTGGAGTGGTAGCAGAAGAAATGTTATAAACTGAGCCATCCAAAATGTAAGCATTACAACTTTTAATTCATCTGATCATCAGTTTCAAAGCAGATAACAACGCGGAGAAAATAGAAAACAGGGGTAAATAATAAGGAGTCTTAGCTTTCAGGAATACTTAACAACCTAAGTAAATTGTAGTCCATAAAGTTGCAATAAGCTCAGTCAGATGAAGTCAGTAATATGGATTATAATGCATTCAATGTAATGGAAATCAAAAGTCATTTTCCAAGTTAGTGAGAAATTAGTCATAATGCCATATAACTCACACTCTAAAACTCATATTTTTTCGTTAATTAAAAATGCACTTAAAGGTCACTTATCTGTTTAATCCCATTTTATCCCTATTTCTTTGATGACTGAACTTTTTCTGGTATGCGTCCAAACAATGGGGTTGAAATCAACCACAACTATTATTCCACCTTGTACTTTTGTGGCGCGTGCTACTGACAAGAGTTCATAGTTAGTATGTTGTGTGTGTGTGTGTGTGACAGATTCTTAAATAACGGTGAAGTGGATTAAATCGCGAAGAGGTGAAGTGAAAAATCCTTATGAAACAGTACAAAAGGCATGAAAAGAAGACAAGAGACACAAAATACGAAGAACACTTGAAAATGGAAATTTCAAGGTAAGTATTCTGTATCTTGCCATGACTGTCCATTATCATTTACCAAATAAATAATTCTGCGACCTGAATTCATTTTTTGATACAGTTGAGATCTGCTTTTAATGGCTATTGTATTCTAACAATCAGGAATTTGTTTGTAGGGATTTTACTTAGAGTTTGACCGGGAATTGATGTCAGTTAGAGAACCATTGAAAACTAGCAACTACTGGATATCTCTTTCGACTCAATTCGGGACTTATGGGCAGTACGCACCCACTAGCTGGGGTTCAAACCCAGGACGTACTAACATTGGTGAAATTATAACCATACAACCTGTAAAAGTTATTGAAAAAACAGTCTTTCGCTTCTCCTGAATATATTGTAGGCGTATTTAAATCACTGGAATAGTTTTTCATTTGAGTATACATCTGCTAATATAACAGGAAGCATCTCTATTAAAACTTCTACACTTGTGATTGAGATACAAAGATGAATAACAAATATTTAGACTGAGGTTTTTTTAAAAAAGAGATTTGTATTAATTTCGTTGTAGATTTCATCACGAACCAATACTAGTTGGAGATCACTGAAAACTGGGGAACACTCACCCGTTGTTTCATTCTATCCTCTTATCTATAAAATAACTATTGTTATTTTGAGGTTTCTTCTATGAGATCGTTGGAAATTCTTCCATCAGAATGAGTATTCTTAATACTTAACATAGAAATAAAACCTGAATACTGTTTTCGAATATAATTGCATAAGACGGTAATTCCTCTTGGTATGTCACAATGATTTAGCATCATTTACTATCTGGTAATGTTTCGTACACAATGTTTTATTCTTGGCCTGGAAAGTCATGTGTAAATAAATAATATTGTATCACTGTGGGAGGCATGAAACATACCTTTGAGATTATGGAATTTTACACACTTGCTGAACAGGTGAAGTCACTCAATAACAGCCTCCGAATGACTTCGAACAACCAGTCGAACTCAAAGAAGATAGAAACTAATAAATTTGGTGAGGAATTAAAAAAATTCAAACATGCAGACCGCTTAATTTATATGAGATGATTCTCCCTTACCTCGACTAACCTCAACTATAAACTCAAGGAAATTGGACAAACAGATTAGCGGCAAACCGTGAATACAAAACGTGCACAGCATTCATGGTAATGACGTCAATGCTCACCTCAGGGTTATTCTGAAGGTTTTCTGTGGTGACAGCTATTCTGATAGAAGTATGTGAATTGCCTTGCTTTCCCTAGACAATTTGTAATGATAATAATAACTATTTATACCGTTCAGTCTAATTCCAATGCCGTTTTCACTTCCAAATAGATCAATGCCTTTATATAACTACTGGCTTCTAAAGAGTAACTATCCATCAAGTAATCAGCTTCCAGCAGATTGAAAATATGGAGTGGAATAGTCAGTCTGATGTACCCATGTGATGAATAGTCTTCAGAGATGTATAAATTTGCTCTCTACGATTACGACAAAAAGATTATATAGGTTTAAGTTTAAGTACTCTTATAACCTTAAAGTGGCGGAACGATAAACAAGAGTTATATCAGAATGGTGTGTAAGAGTCGACTTTTAATTTATATGCATCTTCTACTGTAAATGGTTAGATCAGACATACAGTAGAACTGAAATACCTGAACTATCTGTTATGAGTATACAAGAGACATCAGTAATGAAACATTTTGACAAGAATTAAACAAAATACTGGGCTGATATGTTTTCAACCAGATTTTTATATTATGAAAAATATACATTAAAACACACTGTACAATAAAAGTCAATTGATAATATTTATCATCGTTTACAATCCAATCCAATCAGTTCACAGGTTCTGTTCCAAAGCCATTTATTCTCTTCACTGTTTCTAAGCAGATGAGGCAATTCTTTTAACTGACAATTTTTATAATACCCACCAGATACTAAATTGTCAGTAAGCACTGTGTACAATACTGTTTGTGCCATCTCCCATTGACTAGGAAATATTGGAGTGATTAGAAAATTAGCTATTTTCTGTTTAAAAAGAAATTAAAACGTAAATTGTTTTATTATTTAACATTTAAAAAAAAAATTTAAAAGTTAAAGTTTTCCAGTGGTTCTTTAACCGATGTCACCTCATGATGAAATCCTGTAACCAATCAATCAAATCTCTACAAACCAATACTTGAATATCAATGAGATGCTCACTAGAGACTGGCCATATTCAAGTGGGTAGTTATCTGGGGTTCTAGTGGGAAGTCGTGATCAGTAGGGTGGAGAGGGCGGGTGTGAAGACAAATACTCGCTGAAGACATTTATTTATTTTTTTTTTTTGATTTACAGCTTGATTCCACACTGTATTTTTGGTACAAGTATGGAATTTTCAGCATGGATATCGGTAGCCCAAATTTTGCAGGCCGACCATAGATATCAGGTGTGCGCCGGCGTGGGCTCGAACCCCGGACCATGTGCATGGTCGGCGAGAGTCCTAACCACTGTGACTAGTGGTCGCACTATGTCATGAATTGGCAGAAGTTGGAATTCTTGGGCTGGACTTTGGATCGGTTCCCAGTGGCTGAATGGTCTACGAGCCAGCTCGCCTTGTAACCAGGAGATCCTGAGTTCGAACACCGTAGTGTGGGTGTGTACTGATGAGGAGCCCCAAAGTAGGATGAAACAGTTGACTGTCCAGTACTCCCAGTTGGTTATCCATTGGTTCTCTAACTGAAATCCTGTAACCGATCAATCAAATCCCCACAAACCTCTACTTTAATTACACTAAGTATGTTCGGCAAATGAATTATTTCTATTGCTGTTTTTAAAGTAATCACAAATTCAAGGTCTTTGAATATTTTCATCGCCTAAATGAAAAGTAGAGGTCAGTGAAAAATATCCTTTTCAATAGATTTGCTTCATAATCTGTAGTTTGAAATTCAAATTTATTGTCTTAGTCAGTGGTCAAGTAATATGATGAAGACGTTTCCAAATGCAATATGAGTGTACAAAAAAAAATAATAAAATTAAATTAAACCAGTTTAAGTTTGTAAACGAAATGATAATTTATAAGTGTGCTGTAAAATGCGGTTAAAATAAGTATTAAGCATTTGGTGTTTATTCGTAATCAGCTGATATACCTTGGTGTAAGGGTAACAGGTGATAGACACTAAGGTTTCTATAGTCATTTATTAAGTGGATAGTCCGAAAATGGTGTGCTATAATGTAGTGATAGTAAAGATGAAATGAATAGTTCGTTAAGAAGAAATCGATAGGCGCCTTGGTTGACATGATATCATACAAATGGTGACAATACACTATAAGTAAGCTATTTAATTTTAGTGAAAATACGTTAGAAAAGAACAATGGGTAGATAACTAGAGAGAGAGAGAGAGAGCGGAGAAAACTCGTAAAGTCCTACAATGAGAGTGATTAGTTTCAACTGAATAATAATGGTAAAGCTTTATTTAACACAGTATGCGAATATACGGTACACAAATTTTCAGCGTATTCAGCTCCAGAGTACTTTTATCTTCACATAGGATTCACATGTTAATTAATAATCTGAAGTATATCTTCATTTCGTTGAAGAATTGTATAGCGTTTACTTGGGAGCAAGTTATATCATCGCGGAAGTTTATGTATAGGTCATTTGATATAACTGGACGATTAAAACAATCTATAGTTTGGCTTGTAAGGATTAGTTATGTTTTACGGGTTGATCACGGATTGATATCAGTTAGAGAACAATGATAGATCTAGATGAAATGAAGCATTTTGGAGGAAACTAATTTCGGTAGCCCAATGATTTAAGCAGGTCACCTTTTGAATGATGTAAAAATGCCAATTAACTTTTTGCAGAAGAATGGCTATTGAACAAAGAAAACTCTTTTCGATAACTTCATCATAAGGTTCTACAGTTATATATATACATAATAAGGAATGAATTAGTGTTATTAACAACATTAATGTTGTTCAAATAACACCGAATCAATAATATCTATAGATTACAGTTCAGTAGCATCAACATAACAATAAACTTAATGTCAGAAAAATTAGGAAAGCTGATAATACAACTTCATGAATTTATTGTCTCTACTGAAAGCCAGACAGTAGTAGTGGTTGGACTTGCTTCTACTGTACACAGAGCGTTGGTTGTTTCACGCAAATCGCGGTAGCCTCTACTGTTTGGATTAGGCGTTACTTCGATGTTTTTGACAATTTATTTGGTACCCAGCAGATGATAGAGAAGGACTCTTCAGCACTGAGTTTGTGTCCGGCTTGGACAGGGTGGTTCAATATCGAACTCTATTACTGATATAAGTAAAAAACTTGGGCATTTTGGTAGAGCATAACTCAATTATGGATAAGATTTTATTTTGATAAATCACACACTGTTCTACAGTAATATTAACTGATGACGTTTCAAGCACAAACTATTGCTCATAATCATATCAAGTTTATGATAACTGTAGAACCTGATGATGAAGTTATCGAAGAGAATAATCTTTGTTCAGTGACTCGTTTATCAAGGGCTAGAGGAAGAATAATAGGTCAATGCTTTTTTCCTTCGGAAACACAGCTTTTGCTTAGTCGATTTTATCACCTTAGCGTCAATCATTTGACGAAGGCACAAATCGACTGCGCATGCTAGTATTATTCATAGATAATTTTTCATAGCAAACTCCATATTCGAGTCTAGGTGGTATTTTATGTCTACTGAGTATCCCTAGATAAAATTTCGTCTGACTCAGCTTCATCCATTCCAAACAGACAGGCGTAGTATGTCTTTGACTTCGAAAATACCAATGTCTAATCGCATACACGATGTTATCTGATAGGCAGAAATAAGTAAAAACTGAACATGTAGGACACTAAGGTGGGATCAAACGAAGTTTATTTTAATCTCAGTTTTAGCATTAGACAATTATTACCATTTAAATACAAATATCTTTTTTTGTGAGTTGGAGTTTCACAAGTTGTATCTCAATAGAAATGTGGATGCGAACTAATGGATTTTCTGTTCATTGTCATTAGTGTATATTTACAGTTATGATGGACTATATTAGCTTCTGTGAACTTTTTAAGATACCTGGTTTAACTTAAAATATCTCAGTGTTAACTGGATGTTGGTGTCATTAATAGCTTGTGCATGAAACACTTTTGTTTATTTTATATACTACTGGCTGAAATGAGTAGCTTATCTCTTTATTTATTTTATTTCTTAAAGTTCTGAAAGAAAAATAGATCTTCAGGCTAGAGCTTTAAAGTTTCGGTAGCATTGATTGATGTTTATTTTTACGTGTTGAGGTTGCTAGCCGTATGCCAAACCCTCCCTCTTTACCCGCCTTACTGCCGGCTTAGCGAGGTGAAGGAGTGCGTCCGCCGGGGATTGAACCTTGGACGACGTGGGTGGTTGGTGAGACTTCTACCGCTGAGCCACCAATATGAATAGTTAGAAACCACTTATATCAAAAACATTTGTGCACTCCAAATGAATGACAGTAATTGGAATACCGTACGGCTACTTCGCTTATTCAGAGTTCAGTTATCAACAAAGTTTGTGGAAATACACAGACTATGAAGTCAAACAAGTTCAAGCCACCTTAATTCTGGCAAGCGACTTGAGCGAAATGGTAATACCTAGAATTCGGGCGGTTCGAATTGATACGATTTTCTCAGCTGATGGGGTTGGAACAATGCAATCAAAAGGCCATCAGACATTTTGATCACTGTCTAGTTAGCAATCCATACTACACGACGTGAGTAGTCGTATATACTACTGATACCAATCAGTAGTATATACCAACATAGCGTTAAATGATTATTATGCTTGAGGACCTGACAATTTCAGATTTAAAAGTGAAACGAGTGGTTATTAGGCAGTAAACAATGTTACTTTGACTAACCCTCACTGTTAGGGGACTCAAAATTGCATTTCTCTGACATCATCACCGCTTCTCATAGCTGATAGTGTAGAATGCTAGAAAACGTTTACTGAAAAATACTCACCACAGCCAAAGGATATTACAAGCTGGCCAGCCATCTCTTGCGGCAGCCACTATTTCAAGCGTCTCTGAAATAGCTGTCAAGACGACTTATAGCTATCTAATAGAATAATTGAAACTGAGCAATAAGGGCCAGTTTTCGAGTAAACAGATCAATTATCTGTGTTTAATTCTTCAGGCGGTTTGTAACCAGGCGTTCTCCACCTTAGTATCAAGATTTGTTGATGAAGAACATGCTTATATTTGTTGTGTTACCAGTAATTCATGCGCAGTCAAATAGGAAATATGATAAACTGTAAACCTTCAGAAAACATATATAGGTCTGTATTCGAAGCAATGACTTCAAGTGATGCGAATACTAAGCATTATTCCTCCATCTTTATATTCAAGTTATGAATTACTAATCATCCATATGTGTACTTATTATTCACAATAACTCACATTTATGAATGCTTTAAAGCTTTTACTGTTTCCTCCTTTAAAATATCCAGCATGTGCGCTGACCACCATGATATCTGTCTGTTTAAGGTATTCACTCAATTCAAGCGTATACATTATATTCGCCAATTGGGAATGATAGTAAGCATCTACTGGCCTGTAGTTTGATTGATTCATTTGTAAATTTGGCTTACTCACATGATTGTGTTGATGCTTTCTAAAGCATACATTAATTATTCTTGACGATGTACCTTTCAGCAATAAAGGTAACAGTAATTGTGTTAACAGGAATGAGGAGAAATAATTTACACCCATTGTCATTTCAAAGCCATCATTAGTTGTTGTATACTTCTTTACACTTTTTGTATTTGCATTGTTAATAAGAAAATCTAATTTCTTATGTGTTTCTATTATTCGTTTTACAAATTCTCTGATAGACATCAGCGATGCAAAATTGATTACTTCAATCACCAGCTAAATGATAAATTAGATGAGAAATAAACAAAGAAGAAAAAAGAGAAAAGAAACTACTCTTCATGGCTAAATATTTAAACACCACGAGATTTATGCTTTAAAAGTGGTTACTGAATTAAGAATAAAAGAAATAAATCAATTCCACATATCTATCTTAGAAACTTCAAAAGGAAGTTAGTTCATACACAACCTGCTTAGAATATTCAAAGGCAGAAGTTCGAAACAGTTTGTCTCCTTAGTAAATCTAGATAGGGTGATCAAGAGCGGCATTGAACTTTCGAAATATTCGACAAGTTGGCCAACGATAAGGCATTTCAACTTAGATTTTGTCGACACCCTGGGTGAGTCAGAAAATCACTAAAGATAAGAACTACTGAATAGCTGCTCAGTTCAAGTTTAAGACTCTTCAATAACGTGCACGTATGAACAAGACATGAATCAGGAGAATATAGTCAATTTAAAGTGAGAACACTATTCCCTGCTGCTATAGGGTTGATATTCAAAAGTCCATGAATTTCATGTTCTCACTGGTTTATTTTAGTTTTGATTACAGCTTAATTCCACACTGTATTTTTGGTACAAGTATGGAATTTTCAGCATGGATATCGGTAGCTCAAATTTTGCAGGCCGACCATAGATATCAAGTGTGCATCGGCAGGGATTCGAACCTCGGGACATGTTCATGGTCGGTGAGAATTCTAGCCACTGTGCCACCGACGCACAGTCTGCTGACTAATGTCGACTCATCGTGAACATATCTTCAAATCAGTCGAATTTCAAAGAATCCAGCAATTCAAAATGAACAGAAAATGAGGCATTGCCCAATCTTTTCTAACCTGGTCGATTTGATTTACTAAAAAATAACCCTTAAAAATTTAGAAAAAACTTAAAAATGAAAATACAATATTATTTGCCACAAATTCGCTACCACCTTCTTCATTTTTATTACAGCAATAAGTAAAGAAACACTCTTAACAATAACAAAATTAGTGTTTTGAATCACATCACATCGACAGCATTCACAGATTCCATTAAGAAAGCATCAGTGAGAGAGACAGAAAGAGAGAGAGAGAATATGCATTAATAAAACACTAACTAAGCTGGACACCGGATAAATTAAGGAATGTTATACAGAACTAATGTATTCAGAGGTTCGAGAGAAGGCCACGACAGTGGTAGTAGTAGTAGTAGTGGTTGGACCTGTTTCGTCTTCTACACACACAGCTCCAGTTGATGTGAGCGAATTGCAACGGTCTCTGTCTTTTTACAGTCTTCGGTGTCTAGAAGCCTTTGGAAGCTTATTCGATACCCAGTAGATGAAAGAGGAAGATTCCTCAATGTTAGCTTTGTAGCCTGTTGTGTTGAGGTGGTTCACTATAGAATTGCTGATGGTTTCATTAGCGCCTTTGTTTAACCATACCGGTTGTTGTTCTCGAGTAGGAAAAATTAGGTTCTACAGGAAGCAACTGACTGATAAATATAATCAAAGGTGGCCAGCCTAGTTACTTCGTCTTTCACTTCAGGAATAGCAGGCTGTAATGTGGAAAATATTATCTGCAGGTTTCCGGCATTGAACGTTCTTTGGATCGATTTTCTCAGTTTGTAGGCTATTATTTAACCTGGTATATTTCCTTTGAATTGTAGTCGTATATATGTTTACTTCTTGTTAACAGATAACGAAGAAATCTCCTCTACTTTCTTGGTTATGTGTTTCGTGACGAACTTCTCAGTATAGCTGCTTCCAGTTAACCTGTTGTATACAAGTTTAAGTTCATCTTTAGTCGCAACTTCTGGACAAATAGCTCTGACTGTATAGCTGAGTCTCTTTAGCGAATTTATTTTTCACGCGAGAAGAAGAACAAAGCTTTAAAGATGTGTATATTGACCTTCTTATGCTACCACTTGGTATTCCTGTCAGCAGGACGTCTAAGAAGGATAAGATTCTTCCTCACATGTAAATCTGATAGCTCAGTATACTTCAGTGAATTGTGGTATTACTTAATTCCTATCCAAATCATTTTCACAAAGAATGGAGGCTCCATCCATATGCCGCCAATAAAATAGGAATCTTCTGATAAAATTCCTCAGAGGAGGTTGAATGTGATTTAAAACATTAATGCTGTTAGTAAAAATATTTCTTTAATTAGTACTGTCATATGAATGTAGATGAAAGCATGTGGACAGACCTGGAGCGCGGTGAAAAAGTTGTCAGAAAACCGAAGGCAATGGAGGTGCGCAGCTGAAGCCCTATGTCCCTCTAGGAACTAAAGGATACAATAATAATAATAATAAATATGAATGTAGAAGCTGATGACGAATTCGTAGCAAAGAATATTCTTTGTTCATCAGTCAGTCTTTTAAAACATCACCGGTTATTAATTCGTTCTATTATTTTGCATCTTTATATATTTTTACATTTGTTATTGTGATTTTATCGAGTGATTTGAAGGCATATTTTGCAACAAACAGAAATTCGGCAAGCAACCATTTAGCATCTGGGAGCATGCATGTTAAATTCACAGGCCGTTGAATTCCAACCCACTGGGTCAATGACAACGTGCTTAGATCGATAAATGAATAATTTTTCTCGTAATCCCTTGTTGGATTATTTATACAAATCATTCAAGAGTTCCAATCTGTGACAAAAGAGTTGTTCACTGCTCTATGGTCCTCAGTGGTTATCTAACTGACGTTAGTCTGTCATAAAATCTACCTTGAAACGCTTTGTTATTGTACATTATGCCAGTAATTACAGCTTATATCCCGTGTAGGCCTTAGTCACCTACTTATGATAATCTGTTTTTGGTTTCTAATGTGTTGGCCAGATTTTATGAACACAGTGTTTAAGGTTGTCAGCGTTTCGAAGTGGAATTTGGTATAGCATAGAAAAAGTGTTTAGCATAATATTAGCGGTTGTTTGAATGATAAGTTATCACCTAATGGACAAGCAAATAAAACAATTCATTCTATGCAACATAAATAATCACTATGATTTGTCTCTAGAGGTCTATTGCTACGATCAGATATTATTCATAAACTAAAATTCTATACAGTTTCACATACCTGATGTGCTTCAATAGGTGTAAGACAAGGGATTATTTCTTTACACGATATATCAGTTTTCAAGTGATCAGGATTTTTAACACCATATTTTTCAATTAAATGAATTTTAACTGATTCAGCCTTATCCATATCTTGACTAGCCATAATCACTGTTGCTCCGCGTCTTGCCACTTCTCCAACTATACTTAAACCAGCACCAATATAACATCCTGTAACAATTCCAATTTTTCCGTCTAATCTTTTGGAATACAACACAATTTCGTCCAAAATCCAACAGTTTCACTCATAATTCAAATAGTTATAGGTTATTTTTCACTTTGTATACACTGATTATTTCCCTTAAGCATTTCAGTCTTTTTTTATTGGTTAAACTGATTGTTCGCCAGAAAACATTGAAAACACTTGTGCTATTTTAACCAGTGATTATGCTAGACACGATACGAATAAAGAGCCAATGAATGACTGAGACTATTAAGGAAATTGTACAAAAACAAACAAACAAATTTATTACAGATAATTTTCCAGAATTTGTTTATCAAATACTTTAATTAATCAAAACATGACATGAAATTAATTCTACGACTGGAAAATTAAATTATCACCATTATAAACAGTTCAACACTTTCACACACATATATACTGAACATACATTCCTTAAATTTTTTGAATTAGTACACTTTTTGCAAAGGTGAAAGTGCAAAACAGATTAATGGATAAGCATTGTATACTTTGACTCTCTGCCTATCTTTTTCAGTGGGTACAAATGAGATTACAGCCTAGAAATGGTCTTCAGATAGGGGAACACTGAACTAATAGATCATACATTCGTTTGTCAGCATTCATTTACGTGATATGTGTAATAATTTGCAGTATTTATTTCTAAGTCTTCAAGGGAGTGTGCAGTTTGTGTTTAAGCTACTATTGTGAGTTGTATGAATGCTATCGTTTTTTTTACAAAAGTTATCTAGGGATCAAAAGCATATCCCTATATATAATACACCATTACCAACGTTCTTACATAGTTAATAATATTAATGGTTGGTAGAAGCTCTAGGGAGTTGAATTACTTACTCAAGAACACCTATTAGTATGGTGTTAAAACCGTCAACAAAGTTATATTGAACCACCCCATCACAACAGGCCAGGAAAGAATTCTTCGTTATTTGTTAACAAGAAGTAAACATATATACGACTACAATTCAAAGGGAATATACCAGGTTAAATAATAGCCTACAAACTGAGAAAATCGATCCAAAGAACGTTCAATGCCGGAAACCTGCAGATAATATTTTCCACATTACAGCCTGCTATTCCTGAAGTGAAAGACGAAGTAACTAGGCTGGCCACCTTTGATTATATTTATCAGTCAGTTGCTTCCTGTAGAACCTAATTTTTCCTACTCGAGAACAACAACCGGTATGGTTAAACAAAGGCGCTAATGAAACCATCAGCAATTCTATAGTGAACCACCTCAACACAACAGGCTACAAAGCTAACATTGAGGAATCTTCCTCTTTCATCTACTGGGTATCGAATAAGCTTCCAAAGGCTTCTAGACACCGAAGACTGTAAAAAGACAGAGACCGTTGCAATTCGCTCACATCAACTGGAGCTGTGTGTGTAGAAGACGAAACAGGTCCAACCACTACTACTACTACTACCAATGTCGTGGCCTTCTCTCGAGCTTCTAAATGCATAAGTTCTGTATAACATTCCTTAATTTATCCGGTGTCCAGCTTAGTTAGTGTTATACTAATGCGAATCATCTCTCTCCCCCTTATTGATGCTTCCTCAATGAGATGTGTCGATGGTGTTGATGTGAAGTGATTCAAAACATTAAATTTGTTATAACAGAAAGATTGGGCGGAGAAATATTTACTTTTCAATTAGATCGTCATCTCTGGCTCTACTCTAATATACACGTATAGCATTTTTATTACAATACACAATTACAATTTACCAATCAAGTGGCACTGATATGTTTGCTAACAATAATTAGTCAGTGTCAAAATTAAATTCGCTCACTCTTTCTGTTTTATTAATTTTGTTGTTGTTAAGATTGTTTCTGTAATACTGTACTGTAATATGATAGTAGAAGTTTTAGCAAAGAATATTCTTTTTTGATTAATCAGTCTTATAAATGGTGTGTTTATTTTTATGTTTCAATATTTCTAAAGAAGTAAGGTCGCATTAGAATATGCTTAATATATTTTGGGAACAACAGAAAGACAGTAACACGGAAGTAAATGTTTTCTTTCCGACGTCGTGAACTAGTTTGTATATTGTTGAATATAGAACAAAGAGGGGTGGGAAAGTTGCGGAAATATTTCTGGTCAGAAGTCAAAATGTGATGAATAGTCAGACGACGTTACATAATGCGATTAGAGAATAAATTAAGAAGATAAACAGAAAGTCTGCTTGACAGGAAATTAAGTAATAATAGCGGTGAGAATAAACTGGTTATGATGGTGGTGATGAAGACAAAGATTGAGCAACCTTCTTTCAAATGCATAGTGTCGGCTTGAATTTTTGATTTCTTAATGCTTCAGGTACGTCTGGGTGTCTTGAATTTCGAGGGGCCTTATCGATTTTTCTTATAAGACATTGAAGACTTTCTCACGTGAACCTAGGTGTTCCAGCTTCAAGAGGTGTTCTTTCGCCGGACAAACGATACACCTCCGTTCTCTCTTTGTCAGCCAGCCAAAACTGTGTTGATCAGCGGCGGTTGCAGGCGGACAGGTGATGCTCTCAATGTACTCGTTTCAGAGTGTACTCAGCTCCTTGATCTTCAACCCTTAAGAATGAATGACAACCAATTGAGGGGATCTGTTTACAAACATTCCACGTGGAACAGACAGTCTAATAACTTTCAAAATTCTTTCAGACATCTATAAAAAAAACAAAATAAGTGAGCAAAGAATGTCCTTTTCGATAATTTTCTCTTCTGGCTCTACAATTATATATATACATATGTTTATATACATAGAATATTCTAGAATAGTAGTTGCTGAGTGGAAATGGTTATCCAGAAAAATTTGTTGATAAGAATATGAATCTAAAATCAAATCAGCCCAAGGTACCAACAGTCCCTGAAAAGGCCTTATTCTTACAGATACAGTCCTCCGGAGATAGCATCAGCGAAATACTAACATAACGCCTTAGATTTGCGGTAAAAAGAGCAGTCCCTGCCTCTGAATTACGTGGTGTCTTCAAAACCACCCCTACTTTACGTTCGTGAGTAAAAGATAAACTGCCTGACTTTGCCTCTTCCATATGTATCTACCAATTGAAATGCTCCTGTGGAATGAGCCAGTTACATAGGCCATACAATCAGGCGTGTTTCTCGTCGAATTTCCGAACATCACCCGGTGTGGTTAAGTAAAGGTTCAAAAAATCTATTCTTAGCGCTAATGTATCTCATCTTGTGGGTAAAGAGCACAAGATCGATGTCAACGAGACTTTCAAAGTCATCTACCGCGCGTACCAACAAATCTTAGTTTCTTCTTAAGAGTTCGCCTACTACATATTGCTGAGACGGTTGGGATCCACATTAACAAGACTAATTTATGTGTCTAAAAGAAGCCAGTTCAGACATTGTCCTTGCTTTGACCATCTTGGTTCTAGTGATCCTCAAATTTTCGTAGAAATTTCCTTAATTTTAGTTTATATTCTACTATTTGCTATTCTATTTTTATTATTATTATAATTGAAGCATCTCTAATGAACTGTAATTCCATTGTTCTTACTTAACAGATGAATATTATTTAAAAACCACTAATATTGTTATTGTTTACTATTCTAGAATATTCTATGCATATAAACATATATATATAATTGTAGAGCTAGAAGAGAAAATTATCGAAAAGGATATTCTTTGCTCAGTTATTTTTTTCAAAATTTTGACTTTCACGACGGAAACAGGAATCTTATTCTTCTCCTCAGGGATCCGAATATTCTGTACCGAGGAACTTTTCAATGAAGAAATATATCCAGAATACACTGAAGGCTACATCACTAGTTAACAATGTACCGAATTGTGTGTATGCATGTGTGCTTTGTAGTATTTTAGCATGAAAGTGACCAGTTGCAGCATAATGAAAAATATTCAGTAAGTTTGAAAATATAACAAATAAAAAAGTAAGTTGTAGCAGGTTAGGCGACTGGGTAGTGATTCAATAAAATATGAAATTTTCTAAATTCCATAAATTCTTTTTCAGCTTTACCCACAGATATATTATTCACATATTAGGCTAACTGACGTATTTGCAAATAGATTTTTAGAAAATCATTATCTAATACAATATTTCCTGTTTATGGTGCTTGTACACAATGAGTTCAGATATTTTACCAATTCACATCTGTCTTAAACGACCCACATGATCACCTTTAACAATCTAAACTCAATTGAGAGTGCGTGGTGATGGTAGGTCGCCTAGCCTGGTGAACATATTGCAAAGCTGACTAATGGAATTTATTCAGCACTTAGGACTAAACAATATATCATAACAATGATTCCTCTCCACTAGTCTACCAATGATGAAATCCTGTAACCAACCAAATCCCTACAAACCAACACTTAAATATCGATGAGATGCTCACTAGCGACTCGCCCTATTCAGGTAGGTAGTTACCTGGGGTTCCAGTAAGAAGTCATGATCAGTAGGGTGCAGCAGGTCGGGTGTGAGGACAAATACTTGCCGAAGACATTGACTAGTGGTCGCACTATGTCGTGAATTGGTAGAAGTTAGAATTTAAGGACCATTGGATCGGTTCCCAGTGGCTGAATGGTCTGCGTGCCAGCTCGCCTTGTAACCAGGAGGTTCTGAGTTCGAATCCCGCAATATGGGTGCGTACTGCCGAGGTGGAGTCCCAAACTAGGACGGAGGAAACAGCTGTCCAGTACTGCCAGCTGGTTTTCCAATGGTTCTCCAACCGACATCAGCTCATGATGAAATCCTGTAGTCTAGCAATGAGTTTAACAGTTTATATGTGATTTTTTGTTGAATAAACTGATTGAATTCAGATGTATCGGTCTAGAGAAATTTGTCAATTGAGTGACTGATATTCATTCTTACTTATTTTTTATTTTCCCATGAATAAACAACAAAGAGAAACTGTTTTTACTTTCGTCTCGTTATTTCTTG